CCCCAAAACCCCAAAACCCCAAAACCCCAAAACCCCAAAACCCCTTGCTCAAAACAATTGGTTGAATCTTATTTAAGCACGAAATTTCAAATTATAATTGAATTAATCCCTCGAACAAATATGGGAATACCAAAATTTTTTAGGTGGCTGGTTAGGCGTTACCCTATGATCCTTGCAGACATAAAGGAAGAAAATGATGTCCCACCTATAGGTAAGACTGCTCACAAACACTTTGAATTTTCTCTTCGCTAATAACGAATGGAGTAGAGACTTTACCAAAATGGATATTTTAGTGGCTAAATTATTATGTTTTTCCTTAAGAATATAAACTTATGTTGCATATAGATAATCTCTACCTGGATTTAAACGGAGTCGTTCACAATGCAACTCACTCTAATGATCCCAAGAAGCTGGAAAGAATCAGTAAAGCGAAAGACTTCGAAGTCATCTGGGCTGAAGTGGTCCAATACATAGATGATATCATTCATCTTGTCAAGCCCAAGGAGATGATCATGTTTGCTGTTGATGGAGTTGCCCCACGTGCTAAGATGAATCAGCAAAGATCCAGGCGTTTCAAAACAGCACAGGAAAGACACGAGCTGAAGAAACTTGCAGATGATGCTTTGATTGAACAAGATCCCGAGCTACAGTAAGATTTCTGACAAAACCCAGCCTAATCCCTTTATAGAGTGTCTGATATGTTTGATGTGAACTCTATCTCACCAGGAACAGACTTCATGGTGGAGTTGAACCGCAAGTTGGATTACTACATTCAACATAAGATAAACACTGATCCTCTCTACTCGAAGGTGAGCAGACTCTTGCTTTAAAACACTTATTAACTCTGATTTATAGATAAAGATAATCCTCAGTGGAAGTGATGTCCCTGGAGAAGGAGAACACAAGATTATGGAGTGTAAGCTCAATTTTTGAAAAAACTTAACTCTTTTATAGACATCAGAGAATACAAAAACTCTGATTACTACCATGAAGGCACCAGACACTGTATTTATGGACAAGATGCTGATCTGATCATGCTTTCCTTGCTCAGTCATGAGCCAAACTTCACCATTATCAGAGAAGAGGTGAAATATAAGCGTGAACAAGTTGAAGGAATTGTTAGGAACGAATTTATCATGACCAACAACTTCCAACTGCTCTACCTTCCTGTGCTCAGGCAGTACCTTGACATGGAATTTAAGCCAGTGATTGAGAAATTGGAGCTAGAGTACAACCTCGAACGAGTCATTGACGACATTATCTTTTTCTGCTTCTTTGTTGGAAATGATTTCTTACCATCCTTGAGTGTACTCGATATTGCAGAAGCAAGTGTAGATACTCTCTTCGAGATCTACAAGACAACTCTCTCCGACATTGGTGACTATGTCACCGAGAACGGACTGATTTACTGGGATAGAGCTGAAAAGCTTATCGAGGGACTAGCATCCCACGAACTGGACGTCCTTCATTCCAGAATGAAAAAGATCATGAACTTTGAGAAAAGAGCTGAAGACCAAGAGGCCCAGTTCTTCAAAGGCGTCCAACGTATCCAATACTTCAAACTCAAAGAGAAAAAGCATGAGTTGATCAAACAAAAGAAGCAGAACCTAGTAGACAGACTTGTTAAGGAAGGAAAAGACAAAGAATACAAGCGCAACAAGGTTGCCAATAGACCAAGAGAGCTAGTCAAAATGAAGCTCGAAATTAAGAAAAAGGATAAAGCTCTTAAGAAGAGAAGGGACAACGACGGCCAAGAATACCAAAGCAACAGCCAAAAGCTTCCCTTTGGCTTTATCAAGACTGGCTCTAGTGACTCTAGTGACAACGATAATTGGCTAGAAGAGGATTATCATGAAAAACCAGAAGAAAGCGAAGAGTTAGCTGAGATAAACCAAAAGCCAGACGGACCTGATGATGCTACAGTCAAGGAAGAGAAAAAGGAGTCCAAGAAAGAGCAAGTAGTTGAGAAAGCTCCTGAAAACCCTGAAGAAGGAAAGACTGAAGCGAAGAAAGCACCTGAAGACTCTAAAGCTACTGGAGAAGACCAAGAAGAGACTATTGATACAAATGTTGACACCAAAAATCCAGAGGAATCAAAGGACTTCTTTGACGGTGATGGAGAGCTCAGTGATCTCGATATCAAAGACCTAGATGACTCCGATGTTAGTGATGTTGATATTGAAGAACTTGCAGAGATTGAGGAAGGAGTTGAAGGCTCTCTCAACAAAGACATGATTGTTCAGCTCAAAATTGCAGAAGAGAGCAGAAGGAAAAATCAGTCATTTGTCAAGAATCTCTGTGAAAGATATAAAGAAAATCCAAATTCTGCAAAGGCTTACTACTATAAAGAGAAAGTAGATTTTGATGTCTACACGATTGTTGGAAAAGAATGCAGAAATGAAATGCTAAGAGAATACCTTATTGGAATGCAATGGGTTCTCTTCTATTACTACAGAGGAGTACAGCACTGGGGTTTCTATTACAAATACCATTACCCACCAATGATTTCAGACATCACAAACATTACTGAACTTTTGGGCGGAACTTCTACTATTGAGAACTTTGATTCTTGCACAAGTGAGAATAGACCTTTCTATCCATTCGAACAATTGTTAACTATTCTTCCACCAGATTCAATCCAAAACTTGCTGCCTAAATGCTATTATGACAACTTCATTGAGAATCCTACTTTCAAGGAATTTTACCCACTCACATTTGATATGGATCTGAACGGAAGATCAATGCCTTGGGAAGCTATCGTCTTGATCCCCTTCATTGATGAGAAAGTCCTCATTGCTTATGAAAAACAACTTTCTGAGGAAGGAAAGCTCGTCATGGAACAAAAGGATATCGACAGAAACAAGAGAGGTATTCAAAAGATGTACTATAAAGAACAAACCCTCTCTTCTTTTCCGATCCCTGAACCTGAGTTCCATGGATTCAATTTTGGAGAGAAGAACCATTGCAAGATTGTAGAACAACCTCCAGACAATGAAGAGTACATCGGTGTTCATTTCATTGATTATAAAATGACCCACACAAAGCTTGTAGAGGATTATCCAACCCTCGAAAATCTCCACATCAGCAAAGTGGCTCTGCTACCTCGTAACATGAAAGGTACTAGGTTTGAGATCCCACAAGTGTACATCGATCATGAATGGGTAAAAGATTTTAACATCACAAAACTAGCCAAAGAGTTTGTGTCAAGAAAGAGAGAAGCTGTCTACATCGATTACCCATTCAAGAGAGAAGCATTCGTTTACAGTATAATCTCCCATGATGAATATTATGATGTATACAACAGTTGGTTAGCTGGTACTGATAGAAGACTTATCCAAGAGACAACAGATCAGCAATGGTACGAAGCTACGTCAAACTGTGACAGAGCTCTTAATGCTTTCAACATCAGCTGTCCCAAGATTGATGTGATTGTAGGAATCAATAGAGTAACAGGCGTTAATTGGAATCAATATACGAATACATATGAGAAGGAGTACAAACCTGAAGTCGAATATTTCCCACTACAGATGCTGAGTTTCGACAGAGAAGACAGTCACTACCTCAACCTGACTAAAAGAATTCAAGAGCCACTCTCAAGGTTTGAAACTTATAGAAAAGTTATGCTCTGTGATGAGAACTTCTTTGGATTAACCGCTATGATCAAAGGGCCTACCCCAGATGGGGAATTGAACTCTAACTTCAGGTACTATGACGTGTCTATCAACACCAAGAAGGAACAATCAAAGATCAGAGATCTTTTCTTTGCCAAAAATATCATTCAAAAGAAAATGATGCATGAGACCAAGTTCTCAAGCATTGATCATATTGCCAAGAGGATCAGGAAGTCTTTCCAGGTCATTAACAGAATTACAAGTAGTATCTTTATCAAGTACGTTGAGAATGGAGAGAAAAAGACAGTAGATATTGGCCTCAAGCTAAGAAATAACAACAAGAAGCTACATATCCCTATTGATGTGGTGTATTCAGAGAAGGTCAACAAATACACCAACTATCCTGAACAATTCTGGGGCTTTTCTGATAAGGCAGAAAGGGTGATTTATGACTACCTGACTACCTTCCCATGGCTCCAGGACTACATTGATGCAAGAGCACATCACGAAGCTGGAATGAGAAATAACAGTTACTCGTCCAAAGACAATAGGCTTAACAGACTAGAAGATGCTATGCCATTCATTGAAACTGAAGAAGAGAGAGTTCTTGAGCTTAACAGACTCACTGAATGGCTCTCCAACTGTGAACTAGCCAACAGATCCTTCGTGCCAGCCGGTTTCAGATTCTTGTCTATTGAATCTAGAGATGAAATCGAAAAACAACTTGAGGAAAAGAAGCAAGAAAAGTCATCCAAAATTCCAAGTGAGCTCACTAAAGTAGATCCAAGATGTATCTTTGCTGAAATGTACCCATTTTGGAATGGACCATTCAAGTATGAAGTAAAGAGCTTCAGATTTGGTGATAGAGTTGCCAATATTGATACTTCAAGAAGAAAATACATCCCATTCGGAGACATTGGAACAGTTGTAGGATACACTCTTGATAAGGTCATTGTGAGGTTTGATGAGCCTAATGTCACCCTCACAGATGTCCATGATACATGTCCTCCATATACAGGTGCTGTAGTTGCTCCAAATAGTTTGATCAACCTGACTCACCAGGCTGAGCTAAAGTTGCAGACCAAGGACAAGCAAAATATCAGACAGGCTCCACCCAGCAAAGGAAAGGGAGGCTATCAGAAGAACTACAGAGAGGGGCCTCCTCAAGGTAAAAAGGGTGGATATGGACAGGGTAAAGGCCACTATGGGCCATCCCACGGCAAGGAAGAAACCAAGGATTCTAGAGGGTATACTTCTTATGGCAAGTTTAACCCTAAAGACAGAAAGAGAAACAAGAAGAACTATGAATGGGCTTAATTTGATCCAATAAGCTTTGCTCAAAACGGGGTTTTGGGGTTTTGGGGTTTTGGGGTTTTGGGGTTTTGGGGTTTTGGGG